ACTCACAAAATGTGCGGCAAAACCACGCCCATCTGTAAAGCGCAGCACTTCCAAATTTGATTCTCCTACAAGCACCGGATTGGATAGAGGACTGTACTAAAAAAGCATTGAAATAAGCCCAATCAGAGTTTTGCTCTTTAAAAAAAAACCAACAACGAAATGGAGACCGTTTATTTTCTCTTCTTCTTTGTCTTATTATTATATTTTTGTATTTATTTTTAATGAATTTATTTTGACTTTTAAATTATTTAAATAAATTTTAGATACAAATTTAATATATTATGTAAATAATAATAATAAATGTTTTTATCAAATTAAAGTAGTTAACAAGAATTTCATATAAAAAGAAAAAAGTTTTTGAATTATTATTTATATAAATCATTAAATTTTTATTTAAATTTTATATTTAAAAAATCATAAAATCAGATTAAGTTTATTAAAAATAAAAAGAATAAACAAGATTTCCCTCATGCAGCCCACTGGTTGGGTTGCGCTCCCCAATGAGGAGCAGGTGGAGATCACCCCTTATCTCGGGTTCGAGCCCTCATACTTATTAACAGATATTATCACAATTAGACTAATCAAGTTTTTATTATTAAAAAAATTAAAATAATAATAATAATAAATAAGAAAAGTGTATCTTTTTTTTTATAATGATAAAAATTAAGAAATTAGTTGTAATTAGGTGTTAACAATTGGGGATTCAATCCTCAAACTGAGTGAATATTCCACCTCTCAAATGAGACGCGCGACCATCAAGTCGATTTGATGAAGTTTCAAGAAAAGTGTATCAAAATAAAAAGTTACATAATCCCTATAACTAACTTAGTAAGAAGTTAGGAAATGGTAGATAGATAGATAATTTTTTTATATAATTCTAAAAAATAAAAAAAATGTAAAACAATTTTAAAAATTACACAATTTTAATCTTTCTATCTATTCAAGTCGTTAGGTCAATTTATGTGGCATTTCCCTTATTTCTTTTAACGACATGAATACTTACTTGGAATAAAATATTACTACACCTACCGCTATAAAATAACTAAGAACCTTTAATCAAAGTAGGATTAGAACAAAATATTTAATATTTTTTAAAAAATAAAAAATTAAACTAGTAAATATTGAGAATCTTGTTGGGTATAGTTATGGTCATTATTCATAATGTTAAGAGCATAAAAATTATAAAATATTGTCTTTAAAAATATTAATTTTATTTAATTTAATTAAAAAATAACTAATAATTATTGATATTACTCCCTTACTCTCAAAATAATTGTCATTTGTTTACTTTGAATTTATCTCAAATTAATTCTTATTCTTATTTTTAAATATAGATAATTTTTTAAATTTAACTTTATCACTATCTATTTATTTTAATTAATTATCTTATCATAAAAAAATTAATTTTATTTTTTAGCTTTTTTAAGAGAAATATAGGTAAATATATAAATTATCTCTAAATTCTTAATTTGAAAAAAAAAACAAAAAAAAATGATAGTTAATCTAGACAAAAGAAGTAATTAATTATTTTAAATATTAATTAACAAATTAAAATCAAACAATAAATTGATATTTTCAAATACTATTTATAAAAAATTAATCAATTATAATTACAAATCAATACTCTTAAATTGACAACTATATTTACAAGTCAATATTCTTAAATTGACAACTATAATTACAAGTCAATACTCTTAAATTAAGCGTACATATTTCTCGTTGGATGATGAGAAATAAAACGAAAATTTTAGGAGTAAAATTTAAGATCAATAACATTGCATAAATAATTAATTTAAAATATTTACCAAAAAAATAACATTGCATAAATTATATTATTTAAAATATTAAAAATTTATATTAATTTACTTAATAATATAATTTAT